TGTGTTAATTAAATCTTTCCTCATCCAGGTAAGCTTCAACCATAACCCATATTTATGTTAGAAACATTAGTACACTATGGCACCGCCATCCGTTTGCTTGGTTGTGCTTTATTTATTGTAATTAACCTTCACTGGGTACATCAGCCTGAAAGCCGGGTGTGCTTCACAGGACAGACTGACTGCATGTTTTCCATTGGAGCTGAAGATAGCTACGCCACTGCACCTGCTGGCAGCTGCCACACCTCGTCATTCTGCCAGGGGGAGCCTGTGTAGTGTTCAGGGCCAGTCTCATTCAGAGTCTCATACGGCGAGTGTTTGTCTCGTCCCTGCGCTGTCTGCTCACTGTCTGCTCTATACCGAGTCTGCGCACTCAACGCCTCCATTGTTTCGCCAGTAACAGCAGCGGAGACAGCGGCAGCGGCGACAGACAGGAGCCGAGAGGAGCTCCATCAGCTCGGCCAGGCTGTGCGTCACGGTCTGCCCACTCCCGGCTGGTGTAGGACAGGACCGTGGCAAGGGCACGCGCCCGCAGCGTCACTGTTGTCAGCGGCACAGCAGACAGCAACAGTTGTCACGATGTGCGCGACCAGATGAGGAACGAGGAGCGGAGAGCACTGCGGCTCTGCTGCTCGGCCCGCTCTGCTTAGGACCACCCCGGGACTAGCCCGGGACTGGAGGTCCGGACAACTAAGGGCGGGCACTCAGCCGTGCACGTGGAGAGAGGTGCCCCCAGACCCAGCGGTAGCCTACGGCATAAGGTGCTTCAGGAGTGGTGCGGAGGGTGAGGGGCTGGCCCATGCACCGCGCGGCGGGGACACGGGCAGAGAGCTGACAAGCCCGACACAGGGACAGGCGCGGAGGCCCACGGAGAGACGCTGAGGGGAGCCCCTCCTGTATCCCCCAGAACCACACAGCGGTCTGTGGATGGGGGGCAAACAGAGCACGACAGGACGGCCCCGGGGCACGTTTCCAGGGGTGTCCACGGATGACAGCGCGGTTCCCCCTTCAGCCCATTTCGGTCATTACCGGCCCAGCGGAACAATGGGCCTGCGCAGCCGCTCGGTGAGCTCCGTAGCCGGCATGGGGATTGATCACAGCGCAACTGTGCCCTTCGGCTTCTATCCCCCCAGAGGGACGGACTCAGAGAGAGCCGGAGGTGGGTCCGGCACAGCTGCCCCTCACGGTACCGGATACCAGGACACTGGGGGCGGAGGGCATCACACGGACGGGGTTCTTTATCTGGGGTCCCGGGGGTCGCTGGCTGACACCTTGCCCCTGCACATCACGCCCCGCTGGTTCAGCGCACACAGCGGTAAGACATCCCACAGTGCGCTGCACAGGCGCATATGCACCCACAGACAAACACTGTCTCTAATAAAACTGGTCAGCTGTGTGTGTTCCAATCATTTCTGAGCACAAATTGTTTGTTGGTTTAGGGTTAGGCCATTTTTCCCCCCAAATTATGGGCATATGACTGAAGATACCAAGATTGGGCGTCAAGTTGACAAAATGAGGCTAGTCTAGCTATAGCCTACAGACAGATCTCCAGATTGTTATATGCCTAACACGCCAAGCCATAGGCTATCAGTATTGTAAATGTATTATTTTAACTTAATCGATAGGCCTTCCTCACACCATGAGGACTTTAGTAATAGCTTAATTAGGCAGTGGCCACATTTTCCAATTATAAAAGCCAAATGTCATGTGATCCACTGTCACTAATATAACATTTTTATAGAAATGTTAATTGTCCTCACTTCAGTGAAAGTTGACACAAACCTGTGCAGTTGTACAGGCTGGAGGACTGGGTGTTCTGTTCAACTTGTATGTATTAAAAGCTCCAGTGTAAATATAATTGATCTAGCACAAATGAGCGGAAAAGGTCATAATATGCATGTAAAGTGAACCAGGGCGCCTCTGCCTTCAGCGTCACTGCAGCGTGTGCTGCGTGTGCACAGGTCAGAGCGTGTTGTGTGAAATGACACTAATAAGCCTGGTGCCAAATCTGGTTGAGTCAATTAGGCCAGAGATTAGAGCGAGCAGAGGGGGAGGAGGAAGACTAAAGGATGAGAAAATGTGATGAATACAATCAGGTTCAAGCACATGTTCAAAAACCCCGTCCAAAAGAGAGGAGGTTGCTAAACCTTCTGATATCATATTTAAAAGTGCAATTGCTTGTCTCCATGGAGATGTGCCGAGAATGTTCCGAAGTATGGCCATAAACATTTGAATCTCCATGGAGACTTGCAAACCAAATTACAGGTTAGATTTGTGGAGAGGTGATCCCACTCACAGTAAACATTTATGTTTCAAAATATATTTTAGAGTAATAAATAACACCTGTAGTTGAATAAATGCAAGACAGATTAGTTTAATACCACACTGTGGACAATTTAAACAAAAGTATTGACATCTCCATGGAGACAAAACAGGTGCGGACCTCCTCCAGAAAAGTTAAACAGTGCTGTTTGCATTGTTTGCTGTTTGCATCAGTTATTTCAGTGCAAATGAGTGGTTCTTATTGAAAGTCTTGAAAGTTAGCAGTAGGCTATACTTCCTCTGTCCGTGTATTAGCTTGCTCTTGGGATTTACTCAAATCTTTTAGCCCATTTAAGGAAATGCTGAAGACTTGACTATGACAACACTAAATGACTACACATCTTCTTCTTAGTATTATTATTTCCGATCTATCTTGCAGCCATGTTTGTGTCAGTCCCAAGCCTGTAGAGAAGCTTGCATGACTAAGGATATTACAGCAACAGCACCATAAGTAATGAATTTCCTTTGAGATAAAGTGTTTGTCTGTCTTTCTGTCTGTCTGTCTGTCTGTCTGTCTCTCTATCTATAACTATCTTATCTATCTATCTGGATGAAGGGAGTCAGTCACCTAGGCCTGTCATTATAGCAAATTTTGAAGCATGATATATTTCTACAGAGATATGCTGAGATAAACAATAATATTGAAAAAACTACTTTATGCCACTGACACAATAAAACAGGACAGCCTGATTCCAGTAAACCATTTTTAAATAGACAATATCATTCAACAGGCCTGAGCTGCAACAAATAAACAGCAGAACAAACCAATAATTAGCCATAGAAGATATTTATTCAACTTTCTACAGCTCAAATCTGATCGTATTTCCAGAAAATGTACACACAGTAAATATTGAGCTGCAAAATGCATTCTTCTATCTCTCATGTACTGAGTAGATAAAATAGATGTTGTGACAGACCTATAGTCACCAAAACGAAATAGGTGTAAATGGTTATAACTGCTAGCCTATTTAAAATGTCTGATTTGTGCTTTAACATCCTCTTATTCCTCCATTGTATGTGCTATTCATAGTCTGCCTGTATATGTACAAACAGCATTCCCCTGGCCCTTGTTACTGAGGCCCAGAGTGGCTCACTGCAGGAGCACAGCTATCACCGCTGCCGTGGCTCTGCTTGATGTGTTTCTTCCCAGTGGACTAAGTTAATATCAGGTGTCAGATTGGAAAAAATGAGAAAGGTGAAATAGGCTGCACACACCTGGGATCTTCAGCTCATATGTACAGCAAACAGAAGTGTGCTTATGACTTATTTATCCAATGCAGTTTGGGGGAAAAGCACAACAAAATGGTCAGGGTCAATGTCATGGGGTTTCATTTCATCTTATCTTTCTTTCACAACTCAAAATGCTCTGTTCCACCTTGTGATATCATGTAGTGGTAATGTGCAGGTTAACAGCTACCTTTACATTTTGTTCAGTTGAGATTTGCAATTCTAGGGCTGAAATTATCCAAATAACAGACCTTTTTTACAATGGCTGGAAGTGCCGTGATGAAGGGTAAATGTCACTTACATTAATGCTTTTTTATGGCAAAATATCTGTGGAAATGCCTTGTATATTTTCCACCAGCTTCATAAATCTGCCCCATCACCAAATCTTCATCCAACAAGGTCCACAAAGAACATATTCTGTACATGAAGAACGTATCTACAACTATCTAGAAGAAAACATAAAAGTGAACAACGACTAGCATTAGTGAACTATTCCTGAGCAAAACTAACATCATGGTCATGAGTAAAGCATAAGTAACTTGTAAACTCAGACTGATTCTAGAAATAAAATTAAAAATCGTGATGGAAATATTAGCATAGAGAGAGATTTGTGTAGTTTAAATACTAGACATGTAATCTGACCATCTGTAGCATTCGAACAGCACAAATCTATCTATGCTAAAATCTGCATCATGAAATCAATGTTTTATTTTAATTCTAGAGTCAGTCTGAGTTAACAAGTTACTTATTAACAAATTACTTATTACTTATGTTTTATTCATGACCATAATGTTAGTTTTTGTCCTTTGTCGATCTTGTTGGTTGAAGATTTGGTGATGGGCAGACAGATATATGAAGCTCGTGGAAAATATGTGAAACATTTTCACAGATATTTTTCCATAGAAAAGCATTAACGCAAGTGATGTTTACCCTACATCACGGCACTTCTGGCCATTGTGAAAAAGGTCTATTATAGTGACTGTGTATGGAGTTTAAAAACACAGTGGAGCGCTTCCTGTATTGCCACATGACATCACAAGGTGGAACATGAGGTGGAGTGTTTTTTTGTTTGAGAGAAGAACTCAAGTATAAATATGTAGGATCTGTGCATTAAACATGTGTGAATGAAACAAAACACAACTCCAGGTATGTTTTTGATGAAGGAACAATGTTATAACATAGATCAGAAAATAGCAGTATGAGCCCTTTAAAGGTGCAATAGTCATGAATCAGAGCAGAGAGGTGTTTCCAAAGAAATGTCAATTAATAAAAGTGTTAGTGAGTGTAATCTTAACACTAATTCAAGATTATCAGTGTGCTTACTGCAATAATTGTTGACACTTAAATTGGAATAGACAGAAGAAACAGGCCTAACTATAAATGCTGGTTTAGTTTTGGTTTAGAAGGCATTGCTGCAGACTTTTGTGGAGAGCCAGCCCTGCCCACTCAGCAAACTGAAGAAACTGGTCAGTGAAGGATTATGTAACATGATGAAAAACACATATTTGTATTAACACTTTTAAACATCCTATATTATGTAAAATTTGCTTTTGTAAGCTTTAAGTTTGAGTAACACTTCATTGTTAGTCTGTCTACATCTCCAAAGCTCAAAATGCTCTGTTCCGCCTTGTAATGTTACAAAGCAGTCATTTTCAAGTTAACAACTACCTTTTACCTTTAGTTCAGTAGAGACTGGCAATCCCAGAGCTGAAATGATCAAAATGATTCTAGTGAAGGTACATGGAGTTTAAAAACACAGTGGAGCACTTCCTGTATTCATGACATCAAAAGGTGGAACAGAGTGTTTTCATTTTAAGAGAACAACTCAGCCTAAATATACATGGTTTGTGTGTTAAACACGTGAATGAAAAAGACACAACTTCAAAACTTCAGGTTTGTCATAACATAACAGCATTATAACATAGATCAGAAAATAGTGCACTATGGGCTCTTTAAGGATAGTTTTAAGTGTGGTGTAGCGTAGATTCTTGTCAAATAGGCCAAGTACTTCCACATTCTTCTACTCAACCATCCATACTTTTTAATTTCACAAGAATATAACTGCAAATGTAGTTGGTACAGATAACATTTTCTGTAAAGGGCATAGACTTAGATCAAAACGTCTCTTGGGGTTTCTTACTTGAATGGTCTAACACAATGTTTCCCAAACCTCATCTGTTCTGAATCTATTTTACAAAAGAAACTGAGAATTCTATACTGCAATGTTTCAATTCATATATTATTTCTGTCATCAGGTTTGTAAATATGAAAAAATGTAAAAACAAACTTAGCTCAGCATTAGCATGTATTATGTCAATATCAGCTAATTAGCTCAATAGGGCCTCTTTTGCATATTACATGATATTAAAGGAGAAATCTACATCTCCAATCTAAAATGTGACAAAGCAGCTACAGTTCAGAGGTCCCATATTAAGCAAAACATTTAAGATTTAAGTCATTTTATAATGCTGCTATGTTATCAAAAACATACCCACAGTTGTGTTTTGTTGCATTCACACATACTAGAGTATTATTAGTCTCTCTACATCTCCAGAGCTCAAAATGATCTGCTCCACCTTGTGATGTCATGAAGCAGTAGTTTTTTTTTTTTAACCTTTAGTTCAATAGAGAGAAGAACTCCGACTAAATATGAAGGATTTATGTGTTAAACTGGTTATGGTCCTGTTATGTTCATGATGAGGAAACAACATTATAACATAGATCATTTTTCAAATAAAGTTATGTTAGTGCATAACATCTATTATC